GGCAATGTCAAATTCTCGTCTTCCTAGGCTTTCCAACGTATGGAAGAAAATTTCTCAAATACCTCGCACTTAAAAACGTAACCAGAATCTTACTCTTTCACCAATCCGGAGCGTCCCAAAAGGTGTCAAGGATAGCCCATGAAATTCTCAAACTTCGAGCGCGGAAATCTTAACGATCTTTTTACACTTTTGCTTTGCATCCCTCCCCTAGTTGGGAAGTGACACGCAGAAGACACGATCACAACGCACTTTGATTGGAAGAAGTAAAACTGCATTCTATTGGTTATAATGTGTGAGGACATAACCACAACGGAAGACACAACTGCAACGCTACAATATTGAAGCACGGATTTTATCGAGGATTCCTTTAAAACTCAGCAGCATGAGCATAAAAGAGAAGATTTGCTTTCCTTCCGAAAATAAACAAGGAGCCTGTCCCGGAGTGCTCACTGGGGATGTAAGTAAATCAACGATGGGTCTTGTTGTCGTGCAGGAATGGTGGGGGATGAATGACATCATAATTGACGAAGCTGCAGACATCTCTGGAAGAGGCAACTTGGTAACTCTAGTGCCCGATCTTTATCGAGGGAAGGTAGCAACCGATCATGAAACAGCTGGACATTACATGTCTGATCTGGACTGGCCTGGAGCGGTGCAAGATATCGCTGGAGCTGCCAAATTTTTGAAAGAAAAAGGTTGGTCCAATATTGCCTTTGGGAGAGGGGTGAGGGACTTCATAGAGGGTGGCAAAGGGTTTGTGCGTGATGCGTGATTAAGCGCAAAAATAATACGTGACGCGTGAATTTTACAGAAAGGAAACATAGGCAAAGTGGGATTTGCATTTCTCCCTTTTAAATTCATGACGTGGGAAGTAAATTTTTCTCAAATGCGGACGCGAAACCAGTTCAGGGCCCACTCAGCCCCCCTCCCCCCCTTCTCCCTCTTGTTACCCTCTTCACAATGTTGAATAGATACGGCATATAAGTAGTGCTATAGGGAATCTGTTGTAAGAAAACACTCTCCAGGACAAGGGAAAATTTTGGGTACAAAATAGTCTTTCATTTTCTTTTCATTTTTTTCTATTTTTTCTGCTTACTCTTGGGTTGTAAGAGACATGTTAAAAGTACACCCTGAACTTATCAAGAAGCCTTTGTTTTATGGTAGCACCATGTCTTTCCCAGAAAACTACATGCAAATTGTTTGCATTAAATTAATGATCTGCGTGACTTTTTCTTTCATCTCTAAGAGGTTTCAGACAGAGCTCTCAAATTCTTATACAGCTAAAGGATAAAGTTTTTTCAACCACATCACATAGCTGTTGCTTGTGATGCCATGGACAAATACCTTTTTACAAAGGGGTGGGGGGTCATGCTCCCCTGGAAAATTGAGATGAACAAGCATAGCTAAGACATTTGTTGCTTTATTTGGAACATGTGTTGATAAAGTCCATGTTACCAGCTTGCATTGACATGTGAGCATGTGCAATAGTGGATAATCCTACTAAACCATGGAAAGGTTGCTCTGAATGAGAATTACCTCTGTTAGAAAATATTTGAAGCAAGCACAAAGGAAATAAGGAATAAATTATTTCTAGAAAAATAAAGCAGCATCTCTCTAAAGGTTTTCTTTACTTCATACTTTGTGGCTGGTAGGTCCTCTTTTCTACCCTGATCTCTGTGTTATCTTCCCCTTCCCCAGCCACTCCCCCCTCCAAAAAAAAGATCTCTTTTAATTGTCATTAGCCACCTTAGGTCTGTAAGTAAGTCATCTGGCCAAATTATAATTAGAAGGGGTGGATCAATTGTAGCACAGGCAAGAGCACAAGCGTACCAAGTATACCAGAGCAAGTATGCCAGGTTACCTTATTCTGTTTCTTTTTAGGTTGCAAGAAAGTGGGTGTGACAGGCTTCTGCATGGGTGGGGCTCTGTCTCTGGCAGCTGCGGCACTGATTCCTGAAGAGATTGCAGCAGCAGCTCCTTTCTATGGCATCCCCAGTGCAAAGCTGTGTGATTTGGGGACAATCAAGATACCTTTGCAAGCTCATTTTGGGAGTAAGGATAATCTTGAGGGGTTCTCATCACCAAAAGATGTGAAAGCTTTAACAGAGAAGCTGGATGCTGGAGGAGTGAAGTATGAGCTTCATATGTATGACACTGGCCATGCTTTCACCAACCCAACCAACCCAAATTACACTAAAGAAATTTGTGATTTGGCTCTTGGGAGGATGATAGATTTTATGAAAAAGCACTTGGCATAAACCTTGTTTTCTAAACTTTACGTGAGAGCTCTATGTCACAAAGATTAGGATAGTTTTTTTAAAAGATGTTGTTAACAAAGATTTGAAAACATCGTGTTAACTGGACATTTAAACATAAATGGAGTTTTACAACAAAAAGCTGGTGTAAAAGTTGCAATGCATTAGAATCTCTCTGTATCATCCAAATTAAAAGCCCATTTTTGGCGAGGTGATATAGTTGAGGGTTATAAGGGTGTGACTTAGCTCTCTCCTTGAGGATGAGGCCTAGAGGAAAGCTGCATGGAAGGGTGGGGGTGGGGATGAGAAAAGAAGAGGGGGAGGGTAAGGGAAGATACCCATTACAGCTGCCATTCTACCCCCTTGTAATCAACCTGTTTTTTATCTTTTATATATATGTCACTATCCATCCCCACTTGGATTAATTATCATAAAATTAGATGGTCCCCTTCTACCTCTTGACCTCACAGAGAAGCCAGATGTTGGAAAAGTGAAGTATGAGCTTCATGTGTATGACACTGGCCATGCTTTCAGCAAGCCTACCAACCCAAATTACACCAAGGAAATTTGTGATTTTACTTTTGGAAGGATGATAGATTTTATGAAAAAGCGAATATGATAAACTTTGTTTTCTGCTGTTGCTGTGAATTATCAATTTCCACAAAATAGAATATGTCTATCTCCTGGAGACGTCTCATATAACAAGTTGCTGGAAATCTGGATATCTCTCACTCCCTGAGGCCATCAGGTCTAATTAAAGCAACCATGGAGTACAAACATGCAGGCAGCCCCCAAACACAGCTTCCATCCTGCTGAATTAGAAGTCGCTTA